GTTTGTTTTTAACTTTATACTAGTTAATACCAGTAAAAGGCTGGTCCTTCCTTTAAAATCTTGGGAATAATTTCAGACTGTTATCCTGCATTTAAAAAATGGTCTAGTCTTAATTCATTTATAAACTTTTTTTTTTTTAGTTTTATTCAGTTTTTAAAACAACAGCTCAGCATGGAGAATGTCATATTTTAAAACACAAATATCACTGCATTACAACGCCGATTCGGCCAAACTGTGATAAGTTGTGTTATGGAACACAACATACAGTATTTACAATATATTTACAACTCCCATACATTTATATACACCCTTCCAGCTTGTTTTTGTATAATAAAGTCCCGTCACTCGTCAACATGTCCTCCCCTCGTTTGGCACCTCGGGGTTTCCATTTCCCAGATGTCTGGCCCGGTTCCCTGTCATTGTGAGGTGGGCGGGGTCAACAATGGCTAACTCGTGTCTCCTCCCTCGGTGGCTCCGTCTCCCTCCTGCGCTGTTGGTTCATGTTTCATTTCTAAAAGTGGTCAGTGAAACCTCAGTGAACCTCCTCCGCCACTGCTCCGCTGCCATCTTTAACAACCACGCTGCTGTGGTTTAAGGAGCGGCGGCGGCGGCAGCAGCAGCAGGGGCAGGAGTCTGCGTCATGCCGTGCACCTTCACCTTCAAACCGGCCTGCTCCTCAGTGGCTCGGAGCCGGCACCAATCCCCGCTGTTCACCTGTGGTTCCCGGCGCAGGTAACTGGACTGCAGAGTGGGAACAGATTAAAACGTTAGTTTTAATAGTTTGAGACCAGCTGGAAGCGTGTGTAGAGAGACACTTGGACGTTGTTGAGTTTGAATTGATGACGTAGGTACAGTAAATGTATACATTATTTTTAAAATGACGTCTGTGTGCTGCGTCCGATAAAGGGCATAGGTCAGGTTTTAATGCACATGCTCGTGACCAAAATACTCTTATACTTTCTTTTGGTTATAAAAAAAACAACAACAACTACTATCAAATGTATTTTCTGGGTTACATTTGTGTTTTTCTGACTGTTTTGTCTCCTCTTTTCCCACACAGTGCCTCTGGATCCAATGTTGTTGCCATTGATAATAAAATTGAACAGGCCATGGTAAGACTTTATTTTGATTTTTTTAACCTGCCAGAAAATGGACTTACGGTCATTTCCACTGCTCAAAGTAGACCTTAAAAAACAAAAAGAAAATTATAGCAAACCAAGCCTCATTTAGCTCTATTTTTACTCGTTTGTTCTTGTCTCGAGGCTCAATTTGAGCTATTTTCTGCCCATTATTTGACATTTTCAAACTTGCAGCATTTCTCGGTAACCTGTAGCTATTTGTGTTCCATCTTTTACGTAGCCTCAGAATAATTTTGAGCTATTTGGGAATACCTTTTTAGTAAATTGGTTTGACTAACCTCTACATCTGCTAAGCTTATTAAAAAAAAAATCTTTTATATAAATTAGTGTTGTATAGACTTGGTTTCTCTTAAACAAAATCTGTTTTCGTCTTAATCACGTGGCACTACTTGAGTAGAACCCTTGTCCTGATATGCTCTTTAGCAACGGTAACTTGAGCTTTCCCTTCTGTGCTGTGTGTCAGTACATCGTGGAGCTGTTTCTGGTTAAGTCCCACACATATATATACATATATATATATATATATATATATGATAGGAAATTCATGCCTTGCTTTTTGCTTTGTTCTCCTCTCCTCCAGGACCTGGTGAAAAGCCATCTTATGTATGCAGTACGTGAAGAGGTGGAGGTTCTAAAGGAGCAGATCAAGGAGCTGTTCGAGAGGAACTCTGTGCTGGAGAGGGAAAATGCTGTGTTGAAATCTCTAGCTAACACTGAGCAACTGTCTCAGCTGTCCAGTCAGCCGGCCCCCGGCACCAGCGCCGCTCCTCCCCAACAAGGACTCAGCCCACCTCAGCAGCAGCAGCAGCAGACCCAGCCTCAGCCCCAGCCCCAGCCCCAGACGCAGCCCCAGACCCAACCTCAGCTCCAGCATCTCCCTAAACTCCAGCAGCAGCTCCAGACTCAGCCCCAGCTCGACCCCGGACAACAGCAACAGCAGCAACAACAATTGCAACCCAGTGTCACGTCTGCTTAAACAGCATGTCTACTTTCACATCGGGGACAGAAAAAAAAAAAACAAAACAAAACAGAAGCATCTTCTACACCTTACAACAGTTAGCATATGCGAGAATTAAAAAAGAAAAAAAAAAGAAGAAAAAAAAAACTTTGTCTTCTTAGCCACCAGCTTGACCACAACGTACAGTGCTGTGTGTGTATGTGTGTCTGTGTGTACGGCTACATCCACGGTACTGTGTTTTTGTTTAAAATCTTAGATACACAGGTAGGCGTAACACAGTGAGTACTAATGTGGTGTTTTAGAGCACAACAACGGAGAGGGGAAAAAAAATCATCTAGACTAGAAAAAGACAGATTTGATTAGTTGTTAGGGACGACGATGTCAAGGTAGCCGTGAGGCCTGGTTCGAAAACCAGAAATGAATCTACAGGTAATGTCGTTGGATGATCCTGTGTGAAAACGGTGTTCTATGAACATGGAAGTCATTCGACATCAAAGCAAATGCTTGAAATTTGTAAATCTATTTCAGATATGGGTCATGTTGAGTCATGTAAAAATGATGATAAGTGTAGTTTAATTTAAAACCTAGACCAAATTTGATGGAACCCAATGGTGGGTTCCTGAAATCCTTCCCTAGGGAATCATAGTTTGGTCAGTTATGTATATTATCTCATACAGAGAGGAAATAAACAGAATTACAAAATATATTTAATATTCTGTAGAGGAACAGAATATTGTCACTTGTACACAAAAGGTTACTTACCAGTAGAAAACTTTTTTTTTTTTTCCCACAGGGACTCTCCGACAACCAGCATGGCCTGAAAAATTCACTTCTTAAATCAGTTCCATGATGCTTTCCATCAAGTCCACCTTCGATTTCTTATCGAACCGTGGAAAAGAGTCAGCCTCCATTCACATCAGCCCACACACGCCCTCTTAATTGTATTGCGTGTATCCGTCTGTGTCAGCAGTGATGCATGTCGACTCCCGAGCTGAAACCTTTATTTTTTTTTTTCTTCTTCTCGTTCCTAAATGAAAACAGCAGTGTTTGTGGATGTAGCCTTGAGAGACTGAGCTCAGCAGAAGCAAGTGTGAAAACGGTGTTGGAACGTGACACGTCTGTACCGTGGGCCTTTTCCAGTGTTAATGCAATCATCAGAGGAATCAGCAGGAGAGACGGATGGACGGAGGGATGGACGGACGGAGGGAGGGACGGAGGGAGGCCGTGAATGCAGAGAACTGTGCG